GCCTGGGCAAGTCCATCAGCTCTGCCCCTTCAGAACTGATGGCGGGAGTGGGAGAGGCAACTTCAGGGCAATTAATTGATAGGAACATGATGTCCTAATAATGTTGTTGTTGTTTAGTTGTTTAGTTGTGTCCGACTCTTCGTGACCCCATGGACCAGAGCACGCCAGGCCCTCTTGTCTTCCACTGCCTCCCGCAGTTTGGTCAAACTCATGCTGGTAGCTTTGAGAACACTGCCCCACCATCTCGTCCTCTGTCGTCCCCTTCTCCTTGGGCCCTCCATCTTTCCCAACACCAGGGTCTTTTCCAGGGAGTCTTCTCTTCTCAGGAGGTGGCCAAAGTCTTGGAGCCTCAGCTTCATGATCTGTCCTTCCAGTGAGCACTCAGGGCTGATTTCCTTCAGAATGGAGAGGTTGGATCTTCTTGCAGTCCATGGAACTCTCAAGAGTCTCCTCCAGCACCAGAATTCAAAAGCATCAATTTTTCGGCGATCAGCCTTCTTTATGGTCCAGCTCTCACTTCCATACATCACTACTGGGAAAACCATAGCTTTAACTATATGGACCTTTGTTGGCAAGGTGATGTCTCTGCTTTTTAAGATGTTGTCTAGGTTTGTCATTGCTTTTCTCCCAAGAAGCAGGTGTCTTTTAATTTCGTGACTGGTGTCACCATCTGCAGTGATCATGGAGCCCAAGAAAGTAAAATCTCTCACTGCGTCCATTTCTTCCCCTTCTATTTGCCAGGAGGTGATGGGACCAGTGGCCATGATCTTAGATGCCCTGAATCTGCCAACATCCAGCTTCTCCAGGTGCCCACAAGTTCTGAGAGAGGGTGGGGGATTTTTCCTCTCTCCACTTTCTCCTTGCCAGCCATCGTTTGATAATCTTCCATCCTGTCACCTCTTACTTGCTTTTTCTCCAAACTAAAAAGCCCCACATGCTGCAATCTTCCTTTCTCATCTCCTTTTCCATTTGGCTTCATTGCATGGGTCCACAACTTTTGGCGTCATGAGAAAGGGGAAAGAATTTCTCTCCACCCACTTTCTCCACGCAATAGCATGATTTTATAAACTTCTATCATGCCGTAAAACAGTCTTCCATTCTGGTTCTGTGCTTTCCCACAGGGTGTGCTTGCTGAAAAAGCACACCCACAAGGATTGGAGGGTAGAAAATGGTGTAGGAATGGATTGAGGCGCTAAGTGAGGATACATTGTTTGGTTATTATCCTTCCTTGCTCAACTTAGTGAGTTCAGCAGAGTACGGTTCTTTGCAGCTTAAACTTAGAAGCTAAGACAAGGTTGATTTAACCTTCTAGAAACAGTAATCCAGGATGCTTTAAGGCAGACAGGATTTTCCTGGTATTACCCCTTTTCTCCCTCTATTTTTAACAATTGCACACAGATTGTTTTGTGAAGACGTAAAGTAGTATTTACTTGCATAATCTAGGTCTTAACAAGCAATTACAGGAGCAAAATGAAGGCAGGCTTATAACCACTATCTAAGATACAAAAGTACAAAATGTAAGTTCAAAAATGGTGTCTGAGCTGTAGAGCAGGGGTCAGCAACCTAAGGCCCATGGGCCACAAGCCACCCATGGGGGTCGTTTAACCGATCCATGGACCCCCGCCACCTGCTCAGTCGGCTCCCGTTCACCACGCTAAATCAGCGCACGGCAGAGCGGGGACCGCCTTCCGCAATGCTGGCCAGCTTCCCATTGGCTCCTGCAGCTCCTGCAGCTCCTTTTCGAGGGAGTCTTCTCTTCTCATGAGGTGGACAAAGTTTTGGAGTCTCAACTTCAGGATCTGTCCTTCCAGTGAGCACTCAGGGCTGATTTCCTTCAGAATGGAGAGGTTGGATCTTCTTGCAGTCCATGGGACTCTCAAGAGTCTCCTCCAGCATCACTGCCTTGCCATGGTGAAGGGGCTTGAATGAGCTATGCCATGCAGGGCCACCCAAGATGGACAGATCATAGTGGAGAGTTTTGACCAAACGTGATCCACCTGGAGCAGGAACCGGCAAGCCACTCCAGTATCCCTGCCAAGAAAACTCCATGGACAAAGACAACCAGAAACTAGATGACGGCAAAAACAGCAGGCACTCTTAGAAATAAGAGCCTCCAGCCCACCTGTAATGGACATTCTTCTGGTGAACTTGCAAAGCCATTCCCAAAACTTGCAGCCTGTTTGTCAACTCTCGAGCAAGGATGCAGGCATTGGGAAAGAGCAGCATGCCTCTGAGCAGCTGCAGAATGCTGAGCAGTACCAGCACCTTTTTTCTAGGAAAAAATCACTCCAGACACACACACTACTACAAGCCGCCCCCATCTCCAAGGGGTTCCAGGACCTCCCCAGATTCAGCTTCCTTGGGCTCCATGATCACTGCAGATGGTGACAGCAGCCATGAAATTAAAAGACGCCTGCTTCTTGGGAGAAAAGCAATGACAAGCCTAGACAGCATCTTCAAAAGCAGAGACATCACCTTGCCAACAAAGATCCGTATAGTTAAAGCTATGGTTTTCACAGTAGTGATGTATGGAAGTGAGAGCTGGACCATCAAGAAGGCTGATCGCTGAAGAACTGATGTTTTTGAATTCTGGTGCTGGAGGAGACTCTTGAGAGTCCCATGGACTGCAAGAAGATCAAACCTCTCCATTCTGAAGGAAATCAGCCCTGAGTGCTCACTGGAAGGACAGATCCTGGAGCTGAGGCTCCAAGACTTTGGCCACCTCATGAGAAGAGAAGACTCCCTGGAAAAGACCCTGATGTTGGGAAAGATGGAGGGCCCAAGGAGAAGGGGACGACAGAGGACGAGATGGTGGGACAGTGTTCTCGAAGCTACCAGCATGAGTTTGACCAAACTGTGGGAGGCAGTGGAAGACAGGAGTGCCTGGTGTGCTCTGGTCCAGGGGGTCACGAAGAGGCGGACACGACTAAACGACTCAACAACAACAACACATCAGAAGCAGTAAAGCATTCTCTCTTTTTTCTTTTTTTACATGGAACAGTCTCCTGCCGTGTGTTTCACTCAACTCGCAGGCTTTTGTGCATCCTTATACATAGCCCGCAGTTTGCATGGAGCATGTTGCCGTTTAACCCCTGGGCCAGAACACTTCGCGAAAGGCTTCTTCTTCTTCTTCTTGAGCAGAGCTGGTCCTGTGGCGCTTGGATCCCCCTTGCGCCAGAGAGATAAGGCGGGCTTGAAGGCGCCTGCGCTTGGGGGTATGCCCAGGCTCTGCTCAGCCATCAAAGCGTCGCCATAATATCCCTTTTAAACCCCCCACATTTTTTTATTTATTGATCGCACATAGCAAAGAAAAGAAGAGGCATTAAATACTCATGGCCAGTTCTCAAAGGTTTTCTTGGCAGGAAATTAAAGCTGAAATTCTACGCCTGCTTACCAAGTCAATCGGCAAGCATAGGATTGGGTTGCAGGCTTCTGAAGAAAACCATCTCCCAGGCTCATTACCTCATTGCATTTGCATCCCACTCCCTTTGCTCCAAGAAGCTCAGAGCAGCATCCATGGATCTGCCTTCTCCCTGCCTTTTAGCAACACAGCTCTAGGCAGGCGAAGAGGACCGAGAGAGGCGTAGGGCAGGATTCAACTACTAAGGCCCAGCAGTGAAAGAAGCCCTCCTCAAGGATTTCTTTGGTGCTGAAGGGGTCAAAAGAACCCCCAGACCAGCACATGGCGGGGGGGAGAGATTATTCCCTCTGGCAAGCCAAAATGCGTGATCTGATGGAACAATAACCTTGGGGATAAGTTGCCTCTATCTGCCCAATGAGGGCTACAAGGTTACCCCTGGTGAGTTTCACAGCTGAGAGGAGATCTGGACCTGGTCTTCTCAGTCACAGCCTTACGTAGAATCACAGAACTGTAGAGTTGGAAGAGACTGTTATAAGAATTTTAAGGTCTTAAAGGTAAAGGTACCCCTGCCCGTACGGGCCAGTCTTGCCAGACTCTAGGGTTGTGCGCTCATCTCACTCTATAGGCCGGGAGCCAGCGCTGTCCGCAGACACTTCCGGGTCACGTGGCCAGCATGACAAGCTGCATCTGGCGAGCCAGCGCAGCACACGGAACGCCATTTACCTTCCCGCTGGTAAGCAGTCCCTATTTATCTACTTGCACCCAGGGGTGCTTTCGAACTGCTAGGTTGGCAGGCGCTGGGACCCAACGACGGGAGCGCACCCCACCGCAGGGATTCGAACCGCCGACCATCTGATCGGCAAGTCTTAGGCGCTGAGGTTTTACCCACAGCGCCACCCGCATCCCACTTTAAGGTCTTAGATATGTAATAAATGTTCATAAATGTACCAGGCAAACATGTACATAAATATATAAACCACATGTCTGAAACCCCACAGAAAAAAAGTCCTGAACAAATTGACCTCAAATATTTCTCTGCAAGGTCAAAGTGGGAAACCTCCCCATTGTCTCTTTCCTCACAAATCCTGTCTTAAGGGCACATTTAAGATATGAGTAGGGTGTGAGCCTGTGACCTGGCCCAGGAACTAAGTACAGTGGTGCCTCGCAAGACGAAATTAATTCGTTCCGCAAGTTTTTTCTTCTTGCGAGTTTTTCGTCTTGCGATGCACGGTTTCCCATAGGAATGCATTGAAAATCAATTAATGCGTTCCTAGGGAAACCGACTTCAGACCAGGTCCGGGGACAGTCTGTCCCCGACCTCTTCTGAAGGCTGGGGGGGACAAGGGCTTTTCTTCCCACCCCCAGCATTTTAAAAAACCCCGGGACCGCGGAGGACTTCTCCGCGGGCCGGGCGAGCTTAAAATGCGGGCGGGCGGCCTTTTAAAATCACCCCGGGACAGCGGAGGACTTCTCCGCTGTCCGGGGCAATTTAAAGCCCCTGGGAAGGCAGGCAGGGGGACAAAGACTTTTGCCCCCGCCAGCCTTCAGAAGAGGTCCTGGACCTCTTCTGAAGGTTGGCGGGGCGAAAGTCTTTGTCCCCCACCTGCCTTCAAAAGCTGTCCAGCCAAGGCTCGCGGACCTCTCCGCAAGCAGCGGCAGCACTGCCGCTGCTTGCGGAGAGTTGCCGGCATGCCGAAGCCTGCGCGCGCTGAGATCAGCGCGCCCAGGCTTCGCGGACCTCTCCGCGAGCAGCGGCAGCGCTGCCGCTGCTCGCGGAGAGTTGCCGGCATGCCGAAGCCTGCGCGCGCTGAGATCAGCGCGCCCAGGCTTCGCGGACCTCTCCGCGAGCAGCGGCAGCGCTGCCGCTGCTCGCGGAGAGTTGCCGGCATGCCGAAGCCTGCGCGCGCTGAGATCAGCGCGCCCAGGCTTCGCGGACCTCTCCGCGAGCAGCGGCAGCGCTGCCGCTGCTCGCGGAGAGTTGCCGGCATGCCGAAGCCTGCGCGCGCTGAGATCAGCGCGCCCAGGCTTCGCGGACCTCTCCGCGAGCAGCGGCAGCGCTGCCGCTGCTCGCGGAGAGTTGCCGGCATGCCGAGCCTGCGCGCGCTGAGATCAGCGCGCCCAGGCTTCGCGGACCTCTCCGCGAGCAGCGGCAGCGCTGCCGCTGCTCGCGGAGAGTTGCCGGCATGCCGAAGCCTGCGCGCGCTGAGATCAGCGCGCCCAGGCTCCGCGGACCTCTCCGCGAGCAGCGGCAGCGCTGCCGCTGCTGGCGGAGAGTTGCCGGCATGCCGAAGCCTGCGCGCGCTGAGATCAGCGCGCCCAGGCTCCGCGGACCGGAGATTTCCCTATGGGCTTTCGTCTTGCGAAGCAAGCCCATAGGAAATTCGTTTATGGCAGTGCCTCCAAAACGGAAAACCCTTTCGTCTAGCGGGTTTTTCGTCTTGCGAGGCGTTCGTCTTGCGGGGCACCACTGTATTTATCATTACAAAAGACTGGCCAGGCTCCCCAGGCAATCCAATCAAGTGACCATTAAACCTGGCAGACAGGAAATAAACAACGCACTCAGATTTCTGTTGTAGACCGCCTTTTCTGTGATGTAGGTATGATGTATCTGGGGGGTGGTCTTGGACTTGAGGGTGGGCAATTTTAAATGTCTATATAAGGGCAGGCACGCTTTTGTTAGGGGTTCCTCCTCCTTTCTCCTGTCTGTGAGCGGGCAGCCTGTTGCAATAGTTGAATAAAAACCAAGCTTACTAGCTGCTTTGCTTCTCAATATTCTCTGGTTGGCCTCTTGCTATTTTCTCCGACTGATGGAGAACCTACAAAAGGACTCTACAAGGGCTCTTGTGTCCCCCATAAGGGAATAAGGGCAGATTTTGTTTATTACAAGACCCCCTGGGATCATCTGGTTCACTCTTTGCAATGCAGGAAAAACAACTAAAGCAGTCTTGACAGGTGGCCATCCAACCTCTGCTTAAAAACCTCCACACAAGGAGAGTCCACCACCTTCCAAAGGATTCCTTTCTAATGCCACACAGCTCATGTGTGGAGGATCTACGAGTCTTGGTTGACCACAAACTTGACATGAGCCAACAGTGTGATGCAGCAGCTAAAAAAGCCAATGCAATTCTGGGCTGCATCAATAGGAGTATAGCATCTAGATCAAGGGAAGTAATAGTGCCACTGTATTCTGCTCTGGTCAGACCTCACCTGGAGTACTGTGTCCAGTTCTGGGCACCACAGTTCAAGAAGGACACTGACAAACTGGAACGTGTCCAGAGGAGGGCAACCAAAATGGTCCAAGGCCTGGAAACGATGCCTTATGAGGAACGGCTAAGGGAGCTGGGCATGTTTAGCCTGGAGAAGAGGAGGTTAAGGGGTGATATGATAGCCATGTTCAAATATAGAAAAGGATGTCACATAGAGGAGGGAGAAAGGTTGTTTTCTGCTGCTCCAGAGAAGCGGACACGGAGCAATGGATCCAAACTACAAGAAAGAAGATTCCACCTAAACATTAGGAAGAACTTCCTGACTGTTAGAGCTGTTCGACAGTGGAATTTGCTGCCAAGGAGTGTGGTGGAGTCTCCTTCTTTGGAGGTCTTTAAGCAGAGGCTTGACAACCAAATGTCAGGAGTGCTCTGATGGTGTTTCCTGCTTGGCAGGGGGTTGGACTCGATGGCCCTTGTGGTCTCTTCCAACTCTATGCTTCTATGATTCTATGATTCTATGATTCTATGATTCATGCCGTCAGAAAGTTCTTCCTGATGCTTAGTCGGAATCTCCTTTCATGTCATTGGAATCCACTGAATGGAATCCTCCCCTCCAGAGCAGGAGAGAGCAAGCTTGCTCCATCCTCCATGTGACAGCCCTTAAGTTATTTGAAGATGGCTCTCAGATCTCCTCTCCGTCTCCTTTTTACCAGGCTAAGCGTACTCAACACCCCCAACAGTTCCTTATAGGGTTTGGTTTCCAGACCCTTGAGCATCTTGTTCTCCCTCCACACACCTTCCAGCTTCTCAACATCCTTCTTAAATCATGGCATGAGAACTGGACACAGTATTCTGGGTGGGGGGTCTGACCAAGGCAGAATAGAGTGGGACTATGACTTCCCTTGATCTGGACTTCTTTTGTGGACTCATGTTAAGCTTGTGGTCCACCAAGACCCACAGATCCTTTTCACATGTACTGCTATTAAGCCAGGTGTCCCCCATCCTATATTTGTGCATCTGGTTCTTCCTGCCTAAGAGCAGAACATGACATTTGTCCCCACCGAAATTCATTTTGTTAGTTTTGGCCCAGTTTTCCAATCTGAAGCAGCAAAGATAAGGATGTGAGGGCTACAACTGGAAGTTTAGATGCTATTGAGAGATTAGCACGGCAGTGGACTGATGCATTCCACAAGCAAAAGCCTGGATTTTCTTTGAGATCACATCTGATCTGGCTCTGCTTGCTTTGGTGTAATTGCTCTTCTCTGGCTTGGTTTTCCTTCATTTTAGAGGAAAGTCTGGGCTGGCCCTTGGCTTCCCCTCTTTTCAATACAGATGCCTCAACACTCTCTCAAATCCTGAGGAACAAAAGCTCAAGGGTCCCCTCTTGGCCTTGGGGAATTGCTCGTTGCATCTCTACACTGTGTCTGCTCTCTTGCCTCTCTTGCTCTCTGCCTTACTGTGAGGGCTCCTGCTTGGAGGCAGCTGTGAGATAGAAATTCAGCAAAGCCCATTGTCCGTAGGGCCAGTTTAGTGGGAACTTAACTGACTACTAGAATGTATAAAAGCTCCAGGTGTTGGGCAAGGAGGGCTCTGCCCGTAAAGCAAAAAAAAACTCGGGTTGAGTAAGTTGTATTTCAAGGACTGTGGTTGGATGAGAGGTTTTGGGGAGATGAGGTGGCAGAAGGTGGTTGGGGAGAAGATGCAACAGCCCAGATGGCGCATATTCCCCCTGCATCAGGTGTGCATCAATGGAAATGCTCCCACAGACACCTCTGGACTCTGTCTGGGAATGCATTACTGAATAAAAGTCTCACTCATGGGGAATCTAGTTTGAGCCTCTGGACTGAACTCCAAAAGGGAATTTTCTCCTACAGCTGGAACCTACAGGGCTAGAGAGAATGCAGGTGGTGCTGTGGTCTAACCATCGAGCCTCTTGGGCTTGCTGATCGGAAGGTCAGCGGTTTGAATCTGCATGATGGGGGTGGGGAGCTCCTATTACTCCGTCCCTGCTCCTGCCAACCTAGCAGTTCGAAAGCACGCCAGTGCAAGTAGATAAATAGGGATAGCTGTGGCAGGCAGAGGTGGACCAGCCTAGAAAGGCAGATATTGTGGGCAAACCTTCTCCTCACCTTCCCATGTCTCCTCCAAGACATGGGACACATAAATGGTCAAATCAGGTCCTTGTCTTGCCAAGAAACTTGCCTAACTAGCTCAGCAACCTCCTCTCTTTGAGTCTAACCCTCATTAGCAGAGCCGTCTTTCCCATGGGGCTCAGTGGTGTGGCACACCAGGGTGCCGGCCTCTCAGGGGCGCCCCAGCAAGTGGGGGAGCTGCGCTGCTTTGCCGGCGGCCTCCCCTTTTCCTGCACGCCCACCAGCTGCGCCCCGCCAACCATAAGGCTGGTGGGCATGCAGCTTCCCTCCCAAGCCTCTGCAGGGATCGCTCTCCTGCAGCAGCATGGGGGAGAGTCCCCCCTCCCCCAGATGGCTGGCTGTGTGCAGCTACGGCCACCCCAACACAATCCATGGTAATTTGGGGGTGCTGGGCAGATATTTGCACCCCGGCACTGCAGCTGCTAATGACGGCTCTGCTCATTAGGTACAGGACCCCAAGAACAAGTACAGGACTCAGGGCATCATCCAGACTACTGGCCCTCTTCAAACCCTGGACAACACCCACCCAGGCACCCTGTAGGGTTGCGCCGCAGAGAGGAGACCCCCTGCCCCTCGACCCGCCTTCCTCGCCTGAATCTCCTGGTAAAAGAAAATGCAGGGGAGGAAGGGGAGAAGCAGCCTCAGCAGACAGCACTGCTCACATCTGCGTCTTTCATTTCTTTTTTCCCCCGTAATCACTGTGTGCTCTGCAGAGTAATATTAAAGCTCTTGGAGTTTCTGTCCGCTCTGGGAGGGGGAAGCCTGTTTAAGAACGTGAGCTGGAGTGCTTCCCCTTTCTTCTCCTCCTCGCATTTGGAAAGTCGATTTGTCAGCACATCAGTCACACGGCGGGTTTTGCATCTTAAAGCTTCACAGCTATCAAACTGGGAAAATCCTGCCTGAGCAGGAGAAAGTGGGCGGGGGAGGGAGAGGCAGAGGGGAAAGATGCCTTCATGCGCCAATTAAGCGCTTGCAGGTGCGCACGTCTTGGTGAACAGGCTCAGATGATGCCTTTCTCAACTTTGCAAATTGACCTAAGATCTCAAATAAAATGACGGGAAGGCAGAGAGCCAAGACCTAGCCACAGATGTTGATGTTTATAGATGAATTAATTACACGGCAAAAATAAAATAAAAAACCGAGAACAATCACACGAGGCTTTAAAAACTTTATCCAAGCAAAATAATAAAATGCCGGGCTAATGATTGATCATGAATAATGGATTGGGTGCGTTGCTGCCTTATTTGCATTCGCAAGTTGTCTCTGAACAGATCGCAGATTCTCAAGTTTGTCCATTGCGAAGTATTTTTGGCTCAATCTATGATGCCTCCTATGGCAGCAAGCAGCCTCTGAATGTTCCTTTGGCAAAAAACAGTTGTTAATGTCCCAGGAGGGTGACAGCTAAGTTGTGATTCACCAACAGCCAAGAGGCACTGAGCTCAGGAAGACTTTAATACTGTAGTGCCAACTGAAACAAGAGTCTTTGTTCTTCTGGCTTACAAGATTTAACCAAGGCAATGCAACTTTCTGGGAAGACAAGATGTTGTTGTGGGGATCAGTCTGAATCAGGGGTTCAGCAGACTTTTTCAGCCATGGTCCGGTCCACCGTCCCTCAGACCATGTGGTGGGCCAGACTATATTTTGAAAAAAAATATGAACACATTCCTATGCCCCACAAATAACCCAGAGATGCATTTTAAATAAAAGGACACATTCTACTCATGTAAA